AGTGTGTGTGTGTGTGTGTGTGCCGAACCAGGATCGCCCTCCTGTTGCTTTTTAGTTTTTACAACTCTTTTTTTTTTTAATGTTAAGTGTTTTACGGCGTTCGCAACTGCATAAGGTCATATGTGCGCGCGGGACACGTTAATGATTTCCGGTTTGGTAGGAAATAATTTTGAATTTGACTTACATTTTTTTGAGAAGCCAGCAATTTTCATCATGCCAAAGTAACAGTCCGTGTGATATTCTGTTTGTTCACGCCAGACCATACCTACAGCAAAAGCAATTTTCTGTTGTTGGGCTTAAACCACTTCAATAATCCAAGGAAGCAAGCCATGAAGCTCACATGGTCCCATGGTTTATCTTGATCACTAATTTTATATCCGGAATTTTTGTATCCAGGTTTGATTTTGCCAGCTTCTTGCGCTAATGTAGCGGAGTATACCGTATCAAATCAAGCATGTGGAAGAGCTCAAATACCTGGGAAGTGTTCATCCAAGATACACGTAAACACACGCATACAAAAACTACCACAACAACTACAAAAACCAAAACAAAAAAACCCATGCCTCTGCACAGTGACGACCAGCAATGGCGCATAGGATGGCGTCCAAAAGAAACTTGAAAATGTAATCACCCAACCATAGTGTTATACAGCCTTGTACTTCCCGTTCATGCAGCATACCAATTTAAATTGATTAGATTATGCATCTTCTGATATATAAATATTTCATCTGTCTAAAGACGCCCGAGATATGGTCATTCAAAATTGACCTTTAAAATTCAGGCTTGGCAAAATTGTGCGAAATCAGAGAAACGTGAAAGTGTGTTCCCTCGTAATTTTGGGTGCTTCAACATTGGTGGAATGGACTTGTATTGAATATCAAAATGAAAAAAGATTATTATTGTCTCTGCAAACTGCAATGAACAGCATCTTCTGATTATATTTTCTAATAGATTGGAAAACAGAGCAATTGCAAATGCCGCGCACAACCTGGACTTAACAGTTACACGTGACCATTAGTTTTAATTGTATTTTTGTTTAAGAGCTTTTGGTTTCGTGTCGAGCACGAAACCTTTTTTTTCACATGGACTGTGTTAGTCAGATTTTGTATAATAATCATTTGTCAGTGAGGAGCAGAGGCCACGAAACTCATGGTCTTGGGTGGTCAGGGGTAGACTAGAATGAACAAAACCGCCCTCGTGAGAATTATCGGATGGCTTAGTTTAAGTTTAATGTCACGTCTTACCCTTATTTCCACCATAGTGTCATTCAAGTAGACATCTCCATGCATAGTACAGCGTTTTCTCACGGGCCATTTCCGCTAGACACTTCTTGGAAAACCAAGTCAAGTCAACGTTGGAGCGGTCACCAATAAATTATAGCCCCGATATGAATCCTACAGGAATGTGAAGTCCCACGAAACAGCAGCTGAAGAAAAGTGACTTTGCTCCCAATTCATACTTTTTGTTTGCAACTCTCTGTGACATTTGGAATGAAGAAACAAATAATTAGGTCCAAAGTTTAATAGAGTCGATGCCCAAAGGGTTCTTACACTACACAAAACCAATGGCTCCTCAGCAAAATAGCAACGAGCAAATGTAATGTTTAAGTGCAAGTTTGGTGTGGTATTTGTGACTACTCTGTTTTCCGTTTTGTTTGAAACTATCGTGACAAAATATCGCAATAAAATATTGTTTCAAAATTCTTCGTTCTTTGGATATGCAATGTATGTCCATGTCTATCAATATTGATGCTCCTCGTACACACGCGAAGAAAGCCTTAAGTTTCTTTGATTTCGCACAATTTTGCCAAGAGTGATTTTTTAAGGTCAAATTTGAGTGACCATATCTAGGGCGTCTTTCAACATAGAGGTGAATTATTGATATATGTCTAATGATGCAGAATTTATTAAGCTTTAAATTGGTATGCTGCATGAGTAGGTAATGCGAGGCTTTAAACACCATGATTGGGTGATTACATTTTCAAGTTTCCTTTGGACGCCACTGTATTTATAAAATTGTCTGTATTGATGTGGCATTGTGTATTACATGTATGTAGAGTTGATAATGCATTATATTATTTATTAGTGAATGTATTTATGTAGGTGTGTGTGTATGCATGCCTTTGTAAACCAGATGACACACACTGGGGTCAGAAACTATGGATTTTTGTTTTATTCTTATCTACACGTCTTGAGACATTCGCAATGATCTACGTATTCCCGACACTAATGTCCCGCTGTATTTTTCCCGTCCCCAGCACTTTGTACCCGTTCTCACCGACGTCTTTCATACGGCGAGCAGGAACAACTGACACCCCCCCATTTCTCTCTCTTCCACACCGGTTGGTCGGATCACCCTCCCCGCCGTCCCTCTCCTCAACGAAATGGCCACATGGATCTGCCTGTTCTGCACAAGACTCTGTTCTCGCTGGTGTCCCCACCCGGCTGCCCACCGTGACGTGTATCTACAACAACTTGACCTCTGCTGCTTCTTTTATCTAAGGGATCACTGCACACCTAATACCCAGTGCACTCTCCACATTGGATCCATCGATCTGATTTGGGGACAGCTAGATTTTCCTTCATGGCTAGGGCAAAGCTACCAGTTTGTCACGGTATAACCGATTCGATTCCCGACCCTGAAACACAAACGCGTTTGATTTTGGTCACAGTCGGTCTAGATGTATCCAGTCGTATTGTGCCAAAATGGTAGCTTTTGCTCAAAATATGAAGAAAATTCAGGCTTGCCCCAAGTCAAATCGATTAATTTTATTTGCAGTGTGCACCAGTTACAAGCTCTTGACTGAAAACCCTTTCACCCAGAGCACATTTTCCATTTATTGATACATCTGAGGACAGGTCGATTAATTTCGGATTCACCCAGTACACATCATACTAGATTCTAACTTGACCTCTACCTTCCTTCACCACACATGACCCGGAAGTCCGTTAGGGTCTTTCGCTTTCCGCTGACAAAGAACAGAGCGGACTCAACCTCGCCTTGTGACTTGCTGTTTTCATCAGATGCTTCAGACATATCAGATCCGAGACCCTGACAAACAAAACGTGTTTGATTTTGTAGGATTTGATCAAATCGTACCAAAATGATAGCTTTTATCCTACCATGAAGGAAAGTCGGGCCGCCTCCGACAGTTTCAAAAGTATCAAATGGGCAATGTTCCCTGGTTATCAAGTTTAGCCCCTTTTACTGCGCTTGCCCCATCTTTAACCCTTGAAGTCACTGCTTCTTTAGCGCCAAAGCCCACAGAAACTTTGCATTTTGGTGAGTTTTCAAGGCTCCACGCCGTATTTATTTGGTTCGGCAGGGGGGTGGAGGGAGGAATAGGCGTTAAAACCAAAGATCATTCCCCTCTCTTAAACGATTACTACGTGTTGAAAGAGGCGTTAAACCCAGGTTATACCAAACCTCTGAGGCGTTTGGCCGGTGCGCGGAAGGGTAGAGAGTTCAGATTGCTTACACTGAGGCGTGCGTGCAGTTGCAACTGAATGGTAGTATCCACATTGACTCCTTTGATTTTAAGTCCTCATGTGAAAAGCCTTTTTAAAAAAATTAAACAATTGAATCGAGCTCTGTCTACTTTTCGAAAATACGTGTATTTGGTGAATTTACTCATGAATTTTAAAAAATCCTTTTTAAAAGTAACCAAATGAAATTGAAAAGCCCTTATGGCTTTTGGCCGGGGTAAATTATGCATACAGCTGATTACTCATTGTTATAAATACTTTTATGCTGGATGAAAATTTACTATTAAATCAGTCCTGTGAGGTTGCTGCTGACTTGGATATTTTTAAAACTACACGTTACATTTTCTTAGCCCACCCGGACAGTGCAATGTTTTGTACATACAAATATATATATATAAACATGTATATTAGACGATTTGTAAATTGCTGCTGTATTAGATATGTATAGTATTGTTATAACTATCTGTTGTTTCTACTTTGACCTCGTTGAACGTGATTCATGCAATTTATACAAAGGTTCAGCCACCGTGTCTTCCTCTCAAACTGTGTAAAGTGTCCTTCTCAGGGTAGTCAATCCCCCCCCTCCGGTTCTCCCCAAACTGACTCTCACATTATTGCATGGCAGGGATTGATGTTTTTCTTTTCTTTAATTTCTGCACTTTCTCAATTTACACAAGTAAACTCGTTGGCTGAGAGTTTTAAGGAGACTCTGTCCGGTCCAATTTTTTTTACACCGAAAAATAGATAGATGTAAGTAAGTGTGACAGGGTGTAAACTGGAAACAGTAAAGGTGTACAAGAGCTCCAGATTCATAAAAAAAAAATATTATGATTATGATGTTATGGCGATCCATGTAGCTCCATAGAAAACGGAGACCCTGGATGAGTGCAGTAGATCAAGTGAGTTCCGAATGGAGAGCCCAAGTCGACTTTCACCCTTAAAATCGTAGACATAGTTGTATAGGTGCATCGTACATTATTTGATTTTGTGGCAAAACTTATGGGTGGACTGGTTTTAAATATATACAATTTACACTACACTTATGGTTTAATATCTTATAAATTCCCAAATCCTCGTATTTTAAAAGTTTTGTTTATATTCTTTTTTTGTGGAAAGGGGTGGATGTTCTGGCCAAAATGGACTTTGTCTCTTTGAACTCTCAGTCAAAAAATGTTTTTCTCCTTCACCATCCCAAATACTGTCTCAGGAGGTTACTGTTGTTATTACAACCAGTTCCATCCCTGACTGGTCCACCAAGTCTTACATTAGCTTTTATCTTTATAGACTCTTTCAGATTTAATATCTCCCTTAAATCAACTTTTAGTTTAACATGTCTTTACAAATGTTTTGGTTTTGCAGTTCAGAATTCTAAACTTGTAAAAATATCAGTACTTTTTAAAAAAACAAACCTATAAATGATGATACTGTAGTATATATCTATGGAAAGACATGTTCCTGTTTGTGTATTACATTGTATAGTACCCAGGGCTTTGTCAGTTTCATGTCGAAAAATTAAGGAAAAGAAACATCTCCCAAAAGACAGTGCTAAATAGATTTTGTGGCATAACTTAGAGATTGTAAGCACTTTTATAGTGTACAATATGATGCATCTTACTTTTTCCTGTCTCTGTCAATCGGCAATTTTTCCCTTAATTTGGAGTGGCGAGACAAGATGAATATATATATATATATATATATATTTATTTATAAATTGTAAAAAGATTCAATCAAGAATATGTATATGTGTATAATTACACCTTTACTTCTCATGTGCCATTTTACTGTAATGTTCATGTCACCTATCCTATAGCCTAACTTTCATACCCAGTACATTTTTAAAATAAAATCATGTAACACCTGTAGATGACTCAATGATGAGGAAATGCAGCAAGTTGAAATTCACACCCTCATGTCTTGTTATTACAGTAACTTTATGTATGTGTGACGTGTGTATGCAGTAAATCTGCTGTTTTGCTGTCTAAGTGAGAATCACACAGGTTTTGACAAATGCAACAACAATAACAAACAAATGTGTTTTGCGCATACATCAACTTGTGATTCTGAGCCCTGCTTTTCCCCCCAGATAGTATTATACGAAGTGCCTGATATCCTTTCTCGAACGTACGTGTATATTACTATGACTTTCTTTTATGCTTATTTTCCTTGATACCAGAGTATGGAGATCAGACAAAAATGATACCTTGTAATACAATAAAAATAATGCTTAAGTATAGTCATTTGTTGTGTTGTATCCTTTGCTGATTATTATTAGGGAGTGCTTATTTAGGCCACATATGGCCTAAATAAGGTAAGGGAGGGGGGTTTAGCTTATTTAGGCCACAGTGGACTGTGGCCTAAATAAGGTAAGGGAGGGGGGTTTAGCTTATTCAGGCCACAGCGGACTGTGGCCTAAATAAGGTAAGGGAGGGGGGTTTAGCTTATATAGGCCACACATGCTCAAACTACCCTTTTCAGGCAACTGAGTTCATTCCACTTTCATAATGGTGCACCTTTCTCATTTAGTACGGTTTTGTCTCAGTGTACAACTTATAAATCATAACCATAATGAATATTGTAAAGAACAAAGCACAATACGCAAAATTTTGCTCAATCCCAATGGTTTGAATGAGGGCCAGATTTTTCCTTCATGGAGGGGCAAAAGCTAGGCTACCATTTTGGCACACTTTGGTCAAGTGAAAAGGTCAAATCCTCCGAATGGACTTCCGGGTTAAATTTGGGGTATAAAAAGTGTGTACACTACGTGGCTGAGTCAAAGTTACACTATCTTTGTCTGAGTGACACTCTCTCTTACTGTCTCGTAGTAGTACATGTAGGCTAGTAGGCCTAGTAGTAGTAGTAGCAAAGATCGTGTAGAGAATATTTGGTAGTAGATTCTATCTATAGGCAGTTTAGTGAACGTGCTCGCAGCAGGGCGAATCGGCCTCGATAAGCCCCGTAGACTTTTGTGATCGGCCACGAAGCCTCGTGTTTTGATGGGTCTAGATCTAGATCTAAACAACTCAGTGTTAATCACACTGCCACATCCGACAGGCCTAGATCTACATCTTTTTAAAAGGAAAACAAAGATCATCAAAATGGTTGAATTCGCCTGAAAATCGATTCGGTAGAACTAGAACTATTAAAATTTGCTTCTGAAAACAAGGCAATTTTTATACGAAGGCCATTTTTATAACTCGGTGAAATAAAAACTACTGGCTGTGTACTGTGTTATGCTGTATAAAAATAAATTATGAAACTTCAGGACGCATTATTATTTTCCAGCATCTTTTGACGCCTGAGCTGTAGAGGTTGAAGTTTTCACAACACTAATAGATCTAGTAATAGGCCAGGTAATAGGGCTTTCCGTAAAAAATGCATAGATCTACAAAAGCCGAACCACCGAATCGACCGAGCACCTCGCTCTCCCCTGCACACTGTGATAACGTGTTGCTTCGGTATCGCATTATTCAACTATTAATACGTGCGGCTATGGCAATTGGGATGTACTGACTGACAAAAAATTCAGTTTTGTTTTTATTTTACCATATATTTGACTTAAATAGTGCAGGCGATAGCAAGATCTAGATTCCCTGTCTAGAATCAGTAGTAGCAGGCCTATGCTAGAAGTAGCCAGAGAGCCTACAACTGCTAGATCTAGATCTAACTTATTATTGCTATGCCTTTGGGCTTTGGAATTGAAATAAAACGAATTGCACAGTTCTAGTTACTTTTAGATTCAGCAAGTAACTGTATTTCCAGAGTTAATAATAACAAATCTCAGCATAACAATCACTTTTACTTTTATTAGAATAATTAGATCCAACTTTTTTTCTAA